ACAGCCTTTAAAATTGTCGCAATTTTGACTAACTTCTGGCTTTGATCTCTGTCTCTGTCGACCTCGAAAAAACTCAGTAAAGGAGGAACCCAGCATATAGTTTCTGCTTTTTTTCAAACTGTTTTGCTACGTCTGAAAGGGTTTCATTACCCTCCACATCAATTTTCTCGTGAAGAAATATTGGTAGAATGCGAGTAACTTTCGAGTTACCAAAACTTATTTATTCTGTTGCTGTTGATATTTTTCAATTTACTGAGTTTTTTTGAGTTCGAAAGAGACAGAGATCAAAGCCAGGATTTAGCATAAAATTGCGACAACCTACCTCAGGGATTCGACCAGGGATTCGACCACCTACACGTACTAATTTGAGATATCCAATTTTGGCTGACGGACGCTAAAATTTTTCTGAAGGGGCCTTCGTCCCACGTATATTTTAATTTTAAAGGGAGAGCCGCGCCAAAAAAAAGCAATTTCAAAATTTTGCCTGTGGCCAACTAAAATTGGCCAAAACAGGTTGTTTCTTTTTAGTGCTTTGGGAAAGCTCGAAAAATAATTTTGATCGATCTAAAAAAAGGTCGACATATATTTCAAAATTTATTGAAATTCCGCCCCCTGACTATATGGCTAGATATTTTTTTCTCGGAAAAAAACTCTTTTTCCCACATTAAAACAGTGCACCAGAATTGCGGCACCAATATTTCTTTCAGTTTTAAAAACTCAAAGTTAATCATTTGAATACAGGTTTTTTTTCGAATAATCAAGATGTTTTCGAAACCGTTTTTTTCATAAATCAACATTTGTTCAACATTTTTTGAACAAATTCAGATCAATCTGAAAAATTTTATGATCAATTCGCTATATCATAACCTATCGTGATACTTCGGAGCTGAAAAATATCAAATTTCATCAACTACGGCCAAAAAATCAATTTTAAGCAAAAACAGAAGCCAGTCTTGACTTAGTTCAAGGCTTAGAACCTAAGATAAAAAGGTTTTCTTCCTTTTAAGGACAATTTTTATTTTAATCGAACTCAAAGAATTGTAATTGAAATGAATACATAAAAAGAGCTACCAGATACCGGTTAATGAGTTTAAAGCTGCAGTTAGCAGTAAAAAAAAGCCAGAAAAATTCTCGTGACGGATAATTTTAAATCAAATTTTCCATATGGTTCCAAAAGCTTCCATATCAAATTTTGTAAGTTTTTGCAGCCAATTTAACTGGAAAGGTTCCCCTCCAAATACAAAGAAGCTCATCATATATTTTCATGAGCGGAATGGAGAAAGAGATTATCGTCTAAATTCCAATAAAAAATTGTATGATAATCCACTATTACATGGCTTCAACAAAAAAGCGCTCCGAATATCAAAGCTTCAAAGTAACAAATTAAAAATCAGGTAATTTTTTGCCTTTTTTATAACTTGCTAAGCAACATTCACGCTGACAAAATATTTTTAAAGTAAATTAATTGCAAAAGTTTGCGCACTTTTGTCTATAATGAAGTCCACGATGAAGTTGATTTTTTTTATTTAGGAAAACTTTTCATTTTTGTGTTTTTTGGATAAAACAAAATAATACAGCAAAACTAGAAAAAACACCTTAAATTTTGATTTAGGAAAAAAATCTAGGCCCACACTTTTCCAATTGTTTATCACCGAGACTTCGTTTAATTTTTTGTATGTAAGGAATTGCAAGGAACTGTACAGTTTTTCAAGGAATTGCAAAGAATTGTAATTTTTTCATTCACAGAAGTAGTTCAGAGCTTTCAAGCAACGATACAGTTTCCTTTCCTCATCGAAATAATTTTGTGGTTCCATTGAACATGCCTTGCCACTGCGACATCTACATCGATCCATCAGGTGGTATCGCTGCGAAATAATTGCGTCTACACTTGAATGAGACCCGAATCACGCAGAGTATAAAACAAAACTGAGTCAGGTTATTCTTGTTAAAGTTTAAAATAGTCTCAAAACTATTGCCATTGTTTACTTTTAGTTCATTAGAAACTGCTAGTAGCTAGCAAGGAAATGGAAACTTCATGAGCCACGATTGAATAATTTTGAAGAGAAACTCGTAAACTCAGCTTCCAAGTGTCTCTTCTTTTTTTGCCAATCGTGACTAAAAAGGATTCCATTTCCTTGCTAGCTACTATCAATTTTTAGTGGACTGAAGGTAAAAACTGGCCATAAATTGCAAGACTTATAACTGAGTTTTTACATAGTATCATTTCATATTGAACTGAACGCATAGGTTTATGTTTTATCACTTCAAAGAGCCACTTCATTGATCTGACGTGAACTGAAGTTTCACAAAAAATTGGAAAAATTTTTGCTTGGCTTGCTTAAATATGAAGCTTATTTTTTGGAAACTTACAAGAAATTGGAGAAACGTAGAATAAAGGAAAAGATTATTCCAATTTTCCAAAAAAAAAAAATTGTTATTCAATGATCTTTGATTTTAAAATTGGCAGGTGAATATTACATTACAAATGATTTCTTTAAGTCTGGCTCAATAATGTTTCATTAAAAAAATTGTTGTCCGAATCAAGGGAATTTTTTGATGTCATGGTAAGTTTGCACACATTTTTACAACTATTGTTCCGACTTTTGGAGAAAGTGACGGAATATTTGTGCTAAGGGTGTTTTTTTTTCTCCAGACAAAATTTGAATTTATAAATAGGCTTTTTTGAGGGGTTTTTGTATTATCTAAAAATATTTTTGTCTTGAGTTCAATTTTATGAAATATTTCACCTGTGATATTCTTTCGCAAAGTTGACAATTAACGCGCGATACACATTGTGTAACTAAGCTGAGATTTAATCCGTATTAGAAATTGTTCCAAATTGGTTGAGCAAGCCATAATTGTTTTGTTATTAGGAGCGAATCTATCTTTTTGTTCTTTATACGCCCAAAAATGAGAAAAAAAAAACAGCTTTGTTTTTGTCACGAAATCAATTTTTTGTTCAAACAAGATTTTTCTGTGCAACTGCAATTTTATCCCAGTCACAATCTCCCAAATACAAGAAACAAAAGTCCTTACTAGATGGTTTAGTGCAACCAGTATTAACAAAAAAAAACAAAAAAAAAAACAGAATTTAGTTTCAAAAAGTACAAAGAAGACTTTTTGTCGTTCAAAGAAGTCTGCTTATTTTAATCTTGAAATGCGTAAAACGTAAGCTTGAGCAATTTTGTCAATTAGCTAACCAAAAAGTTGCATTGGAATATCGCGGCTTTCAACTTGATCTCACATGGGCTGCACTCATTTTCATTTAGAGTATGTTTGATTGGACTCGCATTTGGCTTGAACTTTAACTGTTAATTGATCGGCGTGTTTAGTTTCAAGACTCTGAGTATCATAAGGATCTCAAAATGTGGGTCGAGTATTATTTCTGGGGCAAGTTGAAGTCTGATATCTTTGACGCAGACAAGTTGACTTGATGCAAAATGGCATATAAACGTTAGAGGATTATAGTGCTTGATATGCATAAAATACCGTTACTGAAAAACCCAGTAGAATATCTAGTTCTGAAATGTTTTCAATGTTTTTACTTTCGTCCGTTTGATTTTTTTTTGGGGGGCTGTATAAATTAGCATATAGATGAAAAAAGCATAAATTTTTGTTTTATCATTTACGTGTTACCGCGTGCTTTTCGTTCCGACCATTAAAGTTTAGTTTACTTTGTATCATTTTTTTCTTTGAGTTTGTAGCGCCTTTTTTCCTTTTTTGTTGTAATTTTTGTACAAATTTTGTTTTTCAATTTGCTCATTTTACTGTGACTGTCAAGTATACCTAGTCCCCAATTTTTTATTCAGCTTTTTTTTATCACACCACGCCGAAAAAAAACGACAAACATTTCAGTAACCCGGCTATCCTTGTTCTGTAACAAAATTTGCAATTCTGGAAGAACAATACGGGGACCGTAACTTAACCATAAAGATAAAATAGAAAACAAGTTTGAAAATTTTGAATAGGTGTTGAAATACATATTAGCCAATCAGATGTCATGATACTTATACCATCAACAACTGGACCAGACTGAAGATCCAGGACGACTACTAACGCTTGAGGTCCTTTATATCGCTAGGAGACAACAGACACTGAACCAACGCGAAGAATACAGGCAGCGGCAGCTCACCCTCAAGTTATGCTGGACACTTTTTTTTGTTCCGGTTTATATCGGCGAGATTTGTATTTACTCATATACTAGTGCAGTTGTTTTGGTTTTTTTTTTTTTAACTGGTTCGCAATGATGACGACCATTTCCGATGATAGTTTCTCTGAAAGCGCTCAGAAATAAACATTGATTGTATGCTTTGTTTTTCATACCATCAACAACATTCCGGCTATCGATCTCATTATTTCGTCTCACAATTTTGGTTATAAATGAGCACATCAAAAGAATGGTTTTGAAAGAAATGGATGAAAGATTCGGCATGGCCATTTAGAAACAGATGCATGAATATTTATTCATGTTCAAAATTTTTCAAATAAAACTGAATAAAAAATCAGTCAGTTCTTTTTTTTTGCGCTCATTTACAACGGAGGAGATTGATAGCCGGAACGTTGTGGATACTATTAGTATAATGAAATCTGATTGGGTAATATTTAATTGGACATCTTTTCAAAAAAATCAATTTTTTATGCTATTTTATTTTTATATTTTTATGCTAAAAGTTACGATCCACGTTTTTTTGATTTCAACCACTTAAAGTACATTTCAAGTGGTCTTGTAGAACCGCACTCATAAGCGAAGCTGTTTATTGGTATAACCTAAAATGCGGGTTCATATTTTTAAATGAGTACCGCAATTTTTTATGGTTTGAAATGTGTTTGTCAAAAGATGCATTGCCTCTTTTTTACGTTGAAATTTTTCATAAGAAACTTTCAAACAAAACATTATTTTTTCTAAATTGAGCATTCCATATAAATTTGACTAAATTTAGCTGAAATGCTAAAAGACTATGACAGAAAACAATCAAAAAGAAAACATTCAACGTTTATAACATAAAATTTTGCTGATCAAAACTTTAAGATTAATCAATTGAAATCCAGTTTCATATGCAAAATTTAAATGAAGTTTTTCTAATTTCCTATTTAGGATTGACATTTATTTGAACACTGCACATACAACACAGATCAAAGTTACCCAGAAACATTCTATATTTGGTAATGTTTTTAAATATTTCAATTAGTTTTTCACACTTCACATTCTCCATTTGGCATGAAAGAAGATCCAATTTGCTCTTGGTGACCTTGGAACCCGTCTTTCGTTTGACCTTTAACGATTCCATTTCGACCTTCGATTTGTTCAATGAGTTCGTTCATGTGAACTTCTTTGACCTTCCAATCTGGCGAGCGTTCATTGACGTCGACACTGATTATGACATTGTTGTTGGGCGATTCGATGGAGTGAGTCGTGATACGAGTTGAAGTCGAAAACTTCTGATGATTGATCGGCTGCATTTCAAGCTCGTTGCCCATTGGGCGATTGTTCTGCGAATCATCCGAGTTTTTATTGGACGGGTTTTGCTTTTTGTTCTCGTCTGTGAAAACGTAAGCGTGATCGTCTCCTTCGTTGCCTCTACAAAGGAGGGTTTTCAGAAGTATTTTGCGTCTCGTTTCGGGTAGAATGGAGTAGAACACTGGGTTCAGGGCTGCGTTGATGTATGTCAGAATGATGAAGAACCCTCTGCAAAACACAAATAGAGGTTCAATCTCAATAAAGTGAGTACTAATTAGGACCAAAATAAAAAAATTAATCCCAGTTATACGAAATTAAAAAGCTGGCCATACACGTGTTAGAACCCAAAATATTCACTTGGACAAAAGTAGTCAGCCAATTTATGAAAATATCCACAAAACAACATATGGGTCTATTACAGGCATTATTGCCGTTACAGAAACCCAACATATCGAGTTCCACACCTGCTATGGCATAGCTGTTTAGTTGCTGAGGGTAACGGCTAAAAGGATATGTAAGGGACTTGTTTTATTTAATTTCTTCTGTGTGCCTAATAGGCAGATAAAAATTCAAATTTTGAAATTTGTTTTTGAAATTATAATTCTGATCATTACCAACGTGCAATCAATTCATCCCACAATGTCAAATAAATTTTTTTGAAAAATCGATCATCTGCTATAAAAAATTAAGTTAGTTAAATTATTTGATAATTTTTGAGCTGGCCTTAAGCTGTTTGTGGGGGTAAATCGTTGTTTTAAAAAAATTCTATTTTTTACCGGAAATTGCCCTGTTTTCAGGCAAGCTAGGTTGCTCGAGCCTTCTAACTACCAACACCAATTTGTTATTCGCAAAAAAACTGCGTTGTGCGAATTCATGTAGTTTAAAGACATTAAGGGTTTTTTGGTGTTCTTTTTATTAGTTTTAAAGCAATTTGTTCAATTAATTTTATCTTTTTTATCGGTAATGACAGTTCATTTTCTGAAATTCGAAATGAAAAGAGGACAAATAGTTGAAGAGGACAATGAAAATCAAAGACTGTTTTTTTTTTATGAATGAGCTTTCGTCAGTGTTTCAAGGCATTCTACTTTGTATGATATTTTCCATACTATTTCCTTGAAATCAGCTTGAGATGTTGTACTGAATACTGATAGTTATTCAATCTAGATTATTTCTTCTATTTTGGGCACTTATCGAGCGCGGTTTTATTTTTCATTTACCCAGTTTGATTAGTCAAGTCAAATTCAATTCAGTAAGAGATTAATTTAGATAGCCAATTTGTTTGAAGAGAAATCAGATTAGAAGGAGAAAGGCTGGAAATTGAATTGCTCTCAATTTCCAGACGGTCTTGAAGCGAATAATTAGTTTAATAAGTCTTGTTGACCAAAAAATAACAACGATAAATTTGAGGAAAAAGTCAAGTTATTTACAGAAAAAAAATTTCGAACACGATGTGAAGCAGTAGCGAAATTATAAGGAAGGGTGGGCGGGGGCTGAATTTTTTATGGACTCATCTCCCCTCACCACCTTTTAGTACTATTTAATTACCTATTTTTTCGGCTGACCGGTACTTATTTTTTAAATACGCCTTTGGAGCCAAAATATATTAACTTTGATGAAGCGCGCGCCCAAACAAAAGCAAATTTTTGGTCAAAACCTTCCTGAAATGCATGACAACGTCGTTTGGGTCTACTTAACACTCTCCCCCTTTCCTGGGGGAAATCCTTCGGCATCCTTTTTACACTAATAAGAATCATAAAATTAATCTGATCTTGTTAACTATTCCCCCCCTCCCCCTATTTCGATTTTCAGAATTCAACTTTGGCGGCCACATTTTCAATAAGCTTACAACAATATTTTATACAGAAATGGTTGTCAAAAATAATACCTTCATAGGAGGGAAATAAACAATTAACAAGGTCCAAAAGGGGGGGGTAGTTAACAAGATCCAATTCATCTTTTACAATAACAACAACAGTCGTTTTGAAGCAAAGTTGGATACCTGAGATCCCAGTCGCCAAAGTCCGGCTGGATTGTGAACACAGTTGCCAAGTTGAATGTCCAGAAAGGGAGGTAGCAGATCCAGAAGGTGGCTATGATTGACAGCACCAGGAACACCATCCTCACATTCAGGGGTCTCTTTTTATGGCCAAGATTGTTGCTGCTCTGCATGCAAAATACACCATAGATTAGTACAGTGAGAAAGGGATCCGACACGGGATGACCGAAAATGCTTATCAAGCAATTCCCATAAATGGAAAACTTCTTGTCATACAACCATACAACTCCATACGTACAGAAAATTGTATGAAATCTCTATAATAAACATTTTCCCATAAATGGAAATTGTATGACTAATAAAATTTTGTCATTTATGAAAATTGTATGACAAACAGTTTTCGGAAATTTTTTTTCAAATGAGGCACAAATTACATTAAAGCCCATCTAATAAGCCGTGCAATCTCTGAACAGAAAAGAAAACCTGAGAAAAAAAGTTTCGAACGTGTGGACAAAAGCTGCTCAATTGTAAATTGAATAGACACAACACATTGGAATATAGCCACAACTAATTAAAAAGTTGAAAGACAATTGAAAATTGATTGATCTTAATCAAGGAAACGGTTGTCAAAAATTTTATGAGAGTCCGCAATCCCTTGAGAAAACTCTGTCCCTAAAACGAAAAATTGAAAGAATAATCAGTATAATGTCTGTCAATTTTTTAAAATTTTTTATGGCTATTCTTTTTTTAAATTATTTGTTTTTTTTCTTGGATTTGGGTTTATCAATTCAAGAGTTTTCTCGAGGGGGTGGCGGATTCTCGTTAAATTATGACAACACTTTCGAAGATCGAGACCAATCAAACTTAACTTTTTTCATTTTTTTAAAATAATTTTTGATTAAATTTTTAAATCAATCATAAGAAAATTAAAAAACAAACAACCAGATAGTTATTCATTTCTAGCCTTCGAAAAAAATTTATCGAGGACTTAATATTGTTTAAAAACACGAACTATATTCAGTTCTGCATTGCAGGCGCGATCTATACTTTTGTAATAACAAATAGTTGATTCCAAAATTTTGCTAGTAAGAAAACAAACTGTTGAGTAAAATCTGCGAAATTGAATGTACCACTCAAATTACTTTTTGGCATTTTTGCCATTTGAAATTCTTTGAATAAAATTGATAAAAAATAATTAAATTATTTTATTCCAAAAATTTTTTTATATTAAACGAGATAAGCTCTAAACTCGAAAGAATGACATTTATTGCATAACAATTTGAAGCTTTTACTTTTTGAAAACAAATACGAACAAGACTGCTCGTATGAGGGCGAGGCCCTGAATGTTCCGACTGCCTTATAAGGCCTATGGAGCAGTAATAACATGGAAAAATAAAATGAAATGAAACAAAATGAAAAAAAATTCCTAAAGTTTGATTTTTTTTTGAAAAACATCACCCACACGACATATAAAGTACAAAAGGATAGATCTCGCTCCTTGTAACAAATCAATAATGGCAAATTAGCTATTTTTGACCAATTTAGAACTATTTTTCACAGGGATTAACTCTCCGCTTATGCGTTAATAGCGCGAAATATATCGCGCGTTAATTGTCCCAAATTGGCCAAAATGCCAAACTTTAAACCCCCGTAACTTTACAAAAAATGATCACAGGTAAAATATCTTTTAAAATTTGAGCTCAGGACAACAATACCTTTCGAATGATATAAAACAATTCCGTCAACAAAAGCTAGTTAAAAAGTCGAAATTTGTCTGGAGAAAAAAACACCCACCCCGAGCACAAATATTCCGTTACTTTCGTATCGAAAGTCGGAACAATAACATTAAGAAAACTAACGAAATTGATTTTTTAATCGTTTGTTTTGCATCAAAACGGAAAACAAGGGTGGGTCTCGGAATATCTACAACCTTAAATTAGACAGCCTAAAAATAGGTTTTGCAAGATCTCCAGCAAAACGAACAAAACTTCATATCATTTCACCTGATATACTTGATGTTTCCATACCCCAGTGTTGCGTTTTGAATTCTTTTTGACTCAGTTTTTTTGGCAGCTTTTTTAAATTTCTGTTCACATAGGAAACGAAAAAAATAACATACAGACAAATAGAGTAGCGACGGACAGGGGCGGATCTAAGATTTTCTCAAGTGTGGGGGGGCAGATTTTCAAAAAATTTTCCAAACTTTTGACGACCTTTTTTTTTAGATTGACGAAATTGATTTTTCGAGCTCTCCCAAAGCACTGTTTTGCCCCTATTTTGGTAAAATTTTCTGCGTCGCAGGCAAAGTTTTGAAAAAACAGTCAAAAAAGCCGTTTTTGGGCACTTTTTGAAAAAATTTGACAAAAAAAAATCGCGTTTTTTTTGGCGCGTGCTCCCCCTCAAAGTTAGTATATATTGGCGCCGAAGGCGCCTTTAGAAAAATTTTAGGGTCGGTCGGCCAAAAATGGATTTCCGAAAAAGTATCAAAGGGGGGACCCTTTGGGTCGGCAGGGGGTCGAATCCCTGAGGGTGGGGGGGGGGGGGGGGGGGGGGGTGTCCGCCCCCCCCCTAAATCTGCCCCTGGCGAGGGATATAGAACGGAGTAGGGAAACCTATCCTCAACTGTTTACGGTCATCTGTAATACAATCTAACTACATCAATTTTCGGCAATCTTCCCTAATTTGATCTAAAGACGCCTTCATATATTATTAAGATTGGCCCATTTCTAGAACAATTTGGGATCAATATGTCATGTTTTTCTCTTGGGATTTCCACAAATCAGTCTCAATTTGTCACAAAATACATTTTACGTATTTTATTCCAATTGCACTTTATAGACAGAGAGCGTAATTTGCATTGTGTTTAGTCAAAAAGAAATGCACCAGGCGTTAAATGGTAGCCTGAACAAGATTTGTAAATAAAAAATTAATGAGCTACAGGCTCATTGAAATAGCAAAAGCTGTCATAGAACTTGTTTTTTTTGTGATAGAACGTGAAATTTAATTTTCGTGATACAAAAACTTGCTCATAAAACTCAAACAAGACTGCTCGTATCAGGGCCATATATAAAAAAAAACAAAAGAATAGATTTCGCTCCTAGTAACAAATCAATTATGGCAAATAAGCTTCGTTCAACCAATTTTGAACGATTTATAAGACGGATTAAATCTCCGCTTACGCGTTAATAGCGCGAATTATATCGCGCGTTAATTGTCCCAAATTGGTGAAAATGGCAATCTTTAAACTCTCATAACTTAACGAAAAAAGATTACAGGTGAAATATTTTTTCAAATTTAAGCTCAGGACAACAATACCTTTTGAATGATATAAAAAAATTCCGTCAAAAGTGGCTAGTTAAAAAGTCGAAATTTGTCTGAAGAAAAAAAAACCCACCCCGAGCACAAATATTCCGTTACTTTCGTATCGAAAGTCGGAACAAAAAGCCAGCAAAATGCTCCTTTTGAACATATAAATTTCAAATGGTTGTTTCTGTGTATAAAAAACGTTCAAATCATATTGGAAAACTTGAGACACAGTTAGCTTTAAAAAGTTTGATTTAGTTCAAATTTGATCATTATTCGACTTGCATAAGTCAGTTTGATTAAAAAACTGTACTAATTGATATCTAAATAGAAATTTGGGTCTTTTCTGACTTGCTACAGTCGGTACAGGTGTTAATACAAATGTGGGTACAAATCAAGTTGTATAAAGGTTTGAAACTGCTTAGGTAATCTAATATTCAGTAAAAACTTCAAAATTGACTAAAAAACCATAAAACATGCCAAAAAATGATTTCGAATTTCATTGTTTTTATCCTTAAAATAAAAAAATGGTTATAATTAATTTGCAATGGGTTTTAATGCTTTTAAAAATAAAAGCACTATAATCAATTTATTTGATTATAACCAATTAGTTTTCAGTTTAATAGACACTGCCATGAAGCGATTTATATTCATTGAATTCCAATGCGGGACTGCGAATAGTATCATTTGACTATCGCGGAATAAATTTTGGAGTAAATGGAGTAAAAAAATTTTCTGATGATTTCCTCTTAATCAACTTGAGAGATCGCTTTAAAGTAGATTACATCTGTGTTTTCAGGCGCCTCTCGAGGTCAGTTTTTTTTTTTCGTTTTCAGTATGAATGTTAAAGTCAAATTCTAAATGAAAAAGAGGCGGGTTAGGGGGTAAACACACCTCTAGAGCAATCAACTTAGCACAAAAAGACTGGAAATTGAATTGTTTGTAATTTCCAGGCAGATTAGAAGCGAAAAACAAATTTAATCGTCCTTTTTTAGGTGAAAGCTTTCAAAGGTGAAAGGTATTTTGAGGCAAAAAGTATACGCGCTCTGCACAAATTTCATTTCAATTGTTTCTTCTTGAACCAAATTTTGGTATTATGCTCGTTTTTGTTTTGATTGGGTTAAGTTATAACAAAAACTAAGTATTTATCGATCATAAATGACACATAAAAGCAAAATAAATGTTGAAATCATGAAATCACGCTTCAGTTTTTTAAACAAATTAAAAGTGAATGAGTGAAACTATATAGAAGTGATGTTTCAATAGCTCCTAAACGCCTTACCAAAATACTCTTACCAAAAATTTATACCTTATCAAAAAAATTTCGTTATCTTTAGCTTTTTGTTTATATCAATAAAATTAGACAGGCGCTGATACTCTCTGCTTACTGTTAATCAGGTTTTCGATTTTGTGATCACGCAAAAAGTCTTCACAAAATTAGTTTGCGCTATTAAAAAACGAAAAGTTTTACTGCTCACAAAAACAAGACTTGAAGATTAAACTACATGTAAAAGAACGAAACAGGCGAGGTTTTTTAACGTAAAAGGATTTGGGATTACACACCCAATAAAAGTTTGAAAAAAAAACATAAAAAAAGTATGAAGACACAAATAGTTATTTGGCCTTATTTGGTCTTATTTGGTCTTTTTGGTCATAAAAAAGTCTTTTTGGAAATACAAAATTCTTTTAGTCTTCTAAATTCATTTAGTCTTCTAAAGTCTTCTAAATACAAAATTCATTTTGTTTCTTCTATGCTTCTTTGCTATAACTTTGGCTCTTTGCTATGACTTTCAGGATGTGAAAAAAGGAACAAAGTACATGTTGCTCTTTCTCACTATGGCCCTGAGTGTGAGCAGAAAAATAAGAATGTATGGCCTCTGGCTTACCTTCTTGTTCCATTTGTTATGTCTCTTCACTATGGCCACGAGGGTGAGAGAGTACATGACAGTTGTGACGGCCACTGGACATCCACAGTCCACAACGTAGAGGAGCGAGAGATAGAGCTTCTCGTATTTGTGGTCCATGAAGTCAGCCCCGCACGAGAACTGGTTCGGAATGAACCGAGCCGACACCTGCAATAAAAGAAGAACAAATATAAACTTCATCGTATGCTATGTCTGCGGCTATATTCAGTGTTTGGCCGGGACTTTATGCGGATTTTTCTGACTATTTCAGACTTTATTTGGGACCATTTTTGGATTTTTTGGACTGTTTTTTGGCTTTGTTTGGTAAGATATCAGGATTTTTGGGACTTTTGGAGAGTTCATTTGGGACTTATAAAATCAGTCATTTTCAGGCTAGGCATAGAAAACGCTAGGCAGTTTGTCTATGAGAAATCGCTGGTAATTGATATTGCAGCTTTCTTCAAAAATTAAATTGTATATTCATGTGTAAATCAGGTCTATATTTGTGCTCGGGTGGCTTTTTTCTTCAGATAAGCTTCGACTTTTGAACGAGCCATTTTTGACGGAGTTTTTTTAAAATATCATTCAAAAGGTATTGTTGTCCTGAGCTTAAAATCGAAAAATTATTTCATGAGTGATCATTTTTCGTAAGGTTATGGGGGTTTAAATATTGCCATTTTGGCCAATTTGGGACAATTAACGCGCGATATATTTCGCGCTATTAACGCGTAAGCGGAGATTTAATCCGTCCTAAAAATTGTTCTAAATTGGTTGAAAGAAGCTTATTTGCCATAACTGATCTTTTACTACTAGCGAAAATTATCATTTTATTTTTATGGCGTGTGGGGGGATGATTTTTTTTAAATTTCATTTTTTTATATTTATTTTTTCTATGTTATTACTGCTCCAAAGATCTCAAAAAGCAATCGGAACATTCAAGGCTTCGCCCAGTTACGAGAAAACTTGTTTTTATTTAATAGCGTAGTCAAGACTCATTTTTCTACAAAAAACAACTAAAATTTACAGTAAAAATCAGAATTTCGAGTAAAAGACAGATATGATGAAATCAGTAAAAATATTGGAAAAAGGCCACAATTTTTAAGAACGAAGTATTCCAAATTAGAATCGCTTTAGTCACTCACCTGAAGTTAAGTTTTTTGTTATGGCTTAATGTGATCTTGCATAATTCTAACTTAGATGGTGAATTCTTTGTGGAGATTATCTGTGAGATAACGGCCACGCAACTAATGGGTTACTCTAATTTGAGACAGTTTTTGGGTTCTGTGTTTATCGATAAGCGCAGAAATTTAAAGAGAAACTCAAGTGGATATGCCACCCGACAAGCTGATGCTTTTTTGATATTCTCCTAACTAAATGCTCGCTGAAATGTTTAACGGAAAGGATGTTGTGTTGGTTCCAGTTTATAAATTTTAGCCATTTTTAGTCAACTAAACAGAATTTACGGAATTTAACAAAAATAAATTTTTAGTTACTGAGGACGTATGAAAAAACTTATCCTTTCATTTGAAAAAAAACTGTGCGACGAGGGCACGGGATTAATTTTTCCACAAGTTCATGCTAAAATTTAGAAGCTCCATTGAAAAGCTTTGTTCAAACTTGAACTATTTTTAATAATTTGGCGTTAAAATTTCGAATACTCTCAATGAGAGTATTCTAAATTTTAACGTCAAATTATTGAAAATAGTTCAAATTTGAACAAAGCTTTTCAATGGAGCTTCTAAAATTTATCATGAAATAGTTTAAAAATTAATCCTCATCATCCAACAGGAACTTCGTTTTAATACTAGAAAAAGAAAAGGGTTAGGCTTCACAATTTCAAAACAAAGAAACTATTGAAAAAAAAATTTTGAATCGAAGGTGGAAAAACGGGAGGTTGACATTTAGGTTTCATTAAAAAAAATTGCAAGACTTTTTATCCTCGAGGGAAAGGATAAATGCACAAGAAGGTTCATTCGTGAGAACTGCAGTTAAAATTCAAAAATAAATTCAATTTATTCTCACATTTTTACTTTTCACACTTTTTTTTGAAAAGATTTTTTGATCAAACCGTTCAGAATGGCTGCTTCTGATTTTTTTAAACTTCCGTGAAATGTTTGCTTAATCGGAATAATATCTGTCAAAACAAAAACTGAACTTTTTTGAAGTGCCGAGAATTTAGATATAATAACAAGGGCGTACAAGTTGGTTATTCCATTATCTAAGCAATCATAAAACGAGCGTAACTGATGATTTTTAAATATTGCACTTGAATTTACCTATTTTTTTCAGAAATCAGGGCTAATTTTGTAAACTCCCTCCTCCAATCCCCCCTATGAGTCTATCAAAGACCCAAATACCCATTGTTGGTGATCAAAGTTACTTCGCCTCTTCAAACGTTGAATGAAAGTTGAACGGCAAAAGACATTGTTGCCTCGACGCCAATTACAGCCTGTACTTAGGAAATTAGTTCAGAAAAGTAAAACTGAGAAATATGATGCATAACTGGGGAATTGGGTTGTAACAACATCAACTTTAAAAGTATAATTCAAAATAAGCTACTTGAAACGATGAAACGGTAATATGATTAATTTTTGTTTCATTCTGATACGAGCTTATTTGTTACTAACCCTAAGTAACCTGGGGAACTTATTATGCAATTTTCGTGACAAAAAAAAGACAAAACTCAAAAAATGCCATCGGTTGAAAAAACACCTGCTTCAAATAAAGAATTCACTTAATATAAACATTCAAGTCAAGTTGTTGTATTCAAAAACGAAAACTATTTGACTGGTTGGCATATGAAATAAAACTCGGCTGAAAATCTTCTTTTCTACCCTCCC